TTTATTTTTCCATTGATTGGCTTTTTAAGGCAAATGTCTTCCTGTTTTGCATGCTGTTTTATCTTTTAAGGTTCTGAGGATTTTTTTGGTCCTCCTCTTCACAAGGAAGCAAGAAGTGTGACAGGAAGGTGTGATTTTTAATTTACACCAGACTTCTCAGCAAATAATGACTTTTCACACCCTGTTATTGCTGCTTAGCCTGGGGGAGGAGTTGTATGGCTACTGTTGTCATATCAAATTAAATCCACTCTTGTAATTTGGAAAGACATTCCTTTTTAAATTAACCCTTTTCGGTTTTTGAAGGAATTGCTAGATAATATTTTGAAGTTCACGTGCTGCATACAACCTATATTTTGGGTAAATTTCACACCGAAGTGAGAAACATGTAAATTTTTTTTTTTAAGTATAATGTGAGAGGGTTTTTTTTTTCATTTGATGGCTCTGTTCCTCCAGTGAGCTTCCTGGGGACACACCCTCATGCTGATATGGAATTTATTGCAAGATCAAGGCCTACATGTGTCATCTAAGGTTGGAAATGTAATATGGCTGATGGTCCTGGAAGGAACATGATTGGCTCATCTGAAAGGTTCTCTTGAATCAGTCAATGCAATATTTCTACTCACAAAGCAATTATTTTAACTCTTTGAGAATTACCTCGGAGCTCAGTTGGCTGTGTATCTTCCATATCTTCCATTTGGCACCAGAGCCAAATTACACTAGGATGGAAGATCAACAGGAAAAAGCACACACATGGCAAAGGTTTCTCACTGTAAAACAATCATAAAGGTGAAGGGGCAATTCCCCTACAAGTCTTTGCGATGCAATTGTTTAATTTTTTTTTATGTGCTGCTAATTTCAGAGTAGTTCAAAAACCAGACTGAAAGCCGATTAAGCCAGTCAGGAAGCATAGATTTAAGAATCTTGTACCCGAGATGTGGAGGGATGGATTCTGAGGTTTCCAAGCTGTAATGAAACGAAACCGTTTCTTGTCTCAAAGGCTTGTCTGTATGCTATTCTTGCTATTCTACAACCAATGATTGACTTGTGTGTCATTTACGACAAAAAGATTGGTTCAGACAACCTGTTCAAAGGAGGAATATTTATATGGCATCAAAGTATTTGGGTGGAGAAGTCAGGCAATCTTAGAGCAAAATTAGAGAAGGAGCTGAGTTTTCTCAGTCCCATGACACCGGAATTGAATACTCCTGGGATTGGACTGTCTTGATACCCTCTGTTCCATGTATTATGCATTTCTTAGGGATAGTCTGAGTTTGAGGTGTATGAATAGCAATTAGCAAAACCAGCTGCCCCTCCTCCCCTTTCATTTTTCAGAAGCTTTTATTTCCCCTTATTGTTTGTGATCAAGAGTTAATTGTTCACTACACCAGTTGCTTGGTGGTGCAGAGAGGGTTAATGTGCTCGATTTACTATAAACATATATGTGGCAGACTCTTATCTGGTTTCCCTTTTTTTCTTTCTGTAAAATGTCAACCATTTCCTGATGAGCAGGGTGGTGGTGAATTTCACACCTTTCTCTTCTCTGTGTGGAAACCTGGGTGTTAATGGTACAGGATCAGGTCGCATTTTATGTTATAAAGAATGAGGCAGTCTGTTAGAACAACACAAGGAAGGCAGGGAGGAAAGGAAGGGGAGGTGAAGAAAGAAGAAATCAGAGAATTTGCTGCTTGAAACAGCATTAGTTTAGTTTTATTTCTTGATACTTAACCTGGTTTTACTCAGCACTTATAAATGTGACATTTTGTGATAGAAACCTAGCGTTCTATAGAGTTTTGGAGTTAAGCATAAATATAATCTGGAGTCAAGTATAAAAATAATCTTCTAATTTCATTCCACAGTGGAATTTACTATTGCAACACCAGAAGATGGAAAGTTGGTCAGTTGATCAAGTCTGCAACTGGTTGATTCAGAGAAATTTAGGAGAATTAGTTCCTAAATTTCGTGGTAAGGTGTTTGTGGTTTGTTTGCTTTTATTGCTTATTAACTTTTTTTTTGGTAAACAGCTTTCCTCTTCTCTGCCTTAAAAAACATAAAATGTATATTTTTTTTACACTAAATTGTTTTTGGATATGGAGGTAGTTATCTGTTATATAATAGCTTCAGCTTTTTATAGAATTTGAGAAAGAACTGATTCAGGCCAGATAAATCAAAAGGAGTCTAAAGATTTATTAAGAAGCCTAAAAGAACTGGTCTGTGAGATGGAAATCTATAAATAAGTACACCTTCTAGGAACAAAATTGTAGGTTTATCAGGATTTGTTTAGGCCTATTTAATATTGCATGCGTCTATTTGAAATGGTGCATCTTTAATATGTAAATGTTTTATCTGTGAATATATGAATGCTCTACAAAGGATTGAGGAGACTGGCATTCAGACATATTGTGTTAAAGCTTTTCCTCATTAAAATATCAGTATGTTCTGATCCAAGCAAATAAGCCTGTCTGAAAGTATTAGACTAGTTAGTTTGTTTTGTGCAAATGTCATGCTCCAGATTCAAATTCTTGTTACTAGCCAACAGCCTGTAGAGAATTTTAATTCCTTAACAATTTGGAAGAGACACTTTGCAATAAATTGTTTATTTGGGTATGATCCACGTAGGACAATTTCAGGGTAAAAAGCAGTTTTGTCTTGGAGATCCACTCACCTTCTACCTTCATGGTGCATTTAGAATCTAACAATAAAGTAACATGACTTTTTCTTTCTCTTTGATATTTAGAGGAAGAAGTGAGTGGAGCAGCTCTTTTGGCTCTTAATGATCGTATGGTGCAGCAGCTAGTAAAGAAGACTGGGCATCAGGCAGTACTAATGGATCTGATTAGCAAATACCACCAACGAAATAATGATTTAGAATCCCTTACTTACAGTTGTGACACAGCCCCTCCAACATCTCCAGAAGCAATCAGTGGGTGAGTTGTCATGAAAGAGTAATTATGATTCTGTTTAAGTACAGTTTCCTGTTAGTCATTTAACACTAGCATTCAATATTTCTGTAGCTATAAGTTTAACTTTTTTAATATTTTGATCCTAGATGGAAAGCATGTTCAGTGTTATAAATGCGTATTACTGCATGGTTTTTATGAACATTCCTGAACAAATTCTTCTAGGTGGGACTGGTAGCTGCACTTACAAAATTTGCCCAGTGTTTCCTTTATAAGATGTGTTTTCATTTGCTTATAACTTTGCCAAACTTTAACCTCATGGACTGATATTTTCCAAAATGGATGTCTGCCTCTGACTGAAGTTTTCCAGATAAATACAATCACAGAGCTTAAGCTATCCCCAAATATAAAGCTAGAGAAAAATGCTTTAGTACCCTTATGCTTTGGAGTGGGGTCTTTAAATCTTACAAGGAGGTAATCTTTGTTCCATATATATTTCCTTTTTTGAGATCTTTATAAATCTACCCACATTTGCTTTTGGAAAAAAAAATCAGACCTTGACCAAGCTCAGAAAGGATTTTATAGATTTTTAGAAGCTTTGGGATGTGTAGGCTGGGACAAGAAGCCCTGGAGGAAGTATAACTGGAATCTTAAGGTGGCAAAGAGAAGGGAGAGAAACTGAGAATAGGATGGGGAGCTGTAGGAATTAAGAAGTGTAATGTAATAGGCAATGGATGTTTTGAACTAGTGTGAGTAGGGACCTGGAATTGGATGTAGAAAGGTTACACCAGTGTTTAACCTGTCATGTTTCTCCTCCGGTTTTTAATTGCATGATCACATACTCTTTTTTCCACAGGATGCCTACCTCAATCAGTATATCAGAAGCACCTGCTTCAAGGATGGAGCAAGGCCGAGCAGTAAAGACTATTGTCAGTGGGGCTCCTGTTTCATTTGCTGCAGAAGCTGGAAGGTGCACGGCAATTGCAGTAGAGAATTGCAAAAGGGGAAGGGATGGTCTCTGTATTAAGGCAGCTGAATGCTGCCCTGGAGAATTGGATTCCGTCTGTGCCAGTGCAGTAGAGTTACTACATAGTGCTAGAGCTTCTATAGTATCACAAGCAATAAAACTTTCATCTTTTTTTTCCCTTTCTACCTCCACATATTTCTTATATGGATACCATTCCTAGCTGACTTGCAACTCTTAGAGCTCTTCATCCTGTTCATTCTCCAAGGGGCACCAGATGAGAGAGCAGGAGTTCTAACAGCCAGGGGGTTGTATTCAGTCTAGCATCTGCATTGATTGGGTACCAGAATGAGAAGTTGTAACTATATGAATATGAGGTGATGGACCTGTTTCACATCCAGCATTTCTATTGAAGCCCCTGAAATTTTGAATTGGGATTTGGATACTGGCTTAGAGCTTTAGGTTTCTTGCTAATTATAAGGTCAAAATGCACCAGGAGGTGCCATAGGACCTGACAATGTTGCATAGTGTCTCCATGGCTGCATGAGTGAACAGTCTAGTGCAGGGTTTCCAAAGTATGACCCACAAGCCAAAGGCAGCCTATGAGTCTTTTGATGTGGCCCGCCACCCAGGACTGCTATTTCAAAATGGCATTCCCTCCACTGGGAAGAGGCTGGCACAGACCCTGGCCCTGAGCCCACAGTAAGCAGCCCATCCTCGCCCTGCACACAAATCTGGGGGGGCACATGTCCCTCATTCCTCCCCCAAGAGTGCAAATAGCAGCAGGGAGCTGCCCCACCTCCCCACCCCTCCAGATAAGCCACCCATGACTCTATCCTGCTCCCAAGGTCACATTCACTGCCCTAGCTGGGCAGTGCCTGCCCCTACCCCACTCCCTCCCTTACCATGGTGACCTTGATCTCCCACCCCAGCACAATCCTTCCCTCCCCATACCTACTCCCCTCACAGACTCACCAGCCGGGTGCTGCACTTCAAGCTGCCAGGCTGCATTTATGTAAATCAGCTATTGGATTGGTATCAACTGATATGGCTTGTTAATAATCAGCCATCAGTATCAGCCAAGAAAATCTTTATCAGTGTACCCCTACTTAAAATCATGACTGTTCAATTCATTCATGAAAAATCACTTTGTATTTCTGCAGTTAAGATTTTGGAATTCTAAAATTTCTCTCTGTACAAAGGCTGTCCAACTGGCAGCTGTTGGAGGGTTAATAAGTAGCCTTTGAGCTCCAGCCTGGCCACCACTGCCCCCACCATTGCACCTATCTTGGCAGCTGGGTTCTTGGGGCTCTTCCACCCAAAGAACCACTCTCCTCTGGCTTCTACTTCCTTTTTCCTCTCCTGGGGGCAGGATGACACAGCAGAAAGAGGCTGCAGTAGGATGGGGGTGAGGGGCCAGGGGTCTTAGGATCATAGGAAAGTAGGGCTGAAAGTGGACAGAGCTGCTGCGCTTGTGGTTGGGGGAGCCAGACTGCCCATATGGCTATGGCAGGGGGGAGGATTTGGGCTGCATGCCCAGCTGGGAGGGGAGTGGGGAGGCGGGCTGCCTGCACAGCAGGTGTGGGAGGAGCCGTGCTACCTGTTTTGTGCCTGCAGTGGGGAAGAGTTTCCTGAGCTGCCTGTTCAGTGGGGGAGAGCCCGGGGAAGCTGCCAACATGGCTAACAGCCCCTGGGCTTATGGCCCCCATCTGCCCGGAAGCTGGACAGCTCTACTCCTAATAATTTTTGTGATATGTACAGCTCATCAGTAAAAAACCTTCTCTTCCAGGACGGATGATGTGCAAGTGTTCAATCCCTTTGGTCCTATGGATAAGACCCTTTATTTTTCTCCAGCAGAAAATAAAGAAGGATTAATTGACCGAAGAGTCTTAAAGCATAAGTGAGTTAATAGAGCATTTGCTAACTTATAGTTGTTTTGAAAGTGATGTTCAATGTTTGTTTCTAATGCTGAGACTATGTAGTCATTTCATGTTGTTAGGACATCTTGTATGCTCGGTTACAGAAATTATCCAATCTGTCCCTATATTGAAGGACAACTCCGCTCTCAGGTATACCGATATAATTTCCAGAGAAATTAGTAGGAGTTGAAATACAGTTATGTTAGGGACAAAAGGGAGCCCTTGTTTAACAGTGAAGTGAGTAGGTTAGATTTTTTTCAACATTTCTAGCTTTCTGCAGGAGAGCAACAGTTTCAGAAGACTGTGCTTTTCTTTTTCTTTTTTTTTGTTGAATAAAACCCAGTATTGGCAGAATTCTGTAGAACTGAAAGCTACTCCTGCAAAGTTCTGACTTGCTTCATGGAGATTAGCCTTCTTTCATTAAGGGCTAAGCTTCTGTGGGCTAGAATCTTGCACATGGGCAGTTACAACAAAACAGCTGACTTATAATGAAGCCCTGCCTTTTTTATATATGGCACCATGATAAATTGGATGCATGTCCATACCCTTCGTTTTGCCTTTATAGACATTTTAGCTCTGCCGAGATTATACAAGGACATTTCCCTGAAGGACAATGTACTGCAATATTCCTTTAAAAAAACAGAAAGGGTGGGGACACGTCTATTAGGAACTAGGAATGAAGGTACAAATAAATCAAATAATGACAACCTTAAAAAAAAAAAAGAAGAGAAAATGTAATGGTTTGTCACTTGAAAAGACCCTTACTCCACTAGGGAATAACTCACAAGTCCTAAACCCCAAAATTTCACTGGCACTTTCAGCATGTTCCTATCATAAAATAAACTATATATAACCTAGAGTATAACTTTTCCAATAAACCATAATAGGTGTTTGTAACTTCCAGGATCCATTTATTTTTAATGATGAATAATTTTGTCCTATGTTTAATGATGGGTAATTTTATCTTGGGCTGCACGCTGTTAAAGTGGGTTATGTGAATCACCATAACCCAGAATAAACTAGCTCTAGAAAACCTCTTCACTGCTGCAGTGTACAGCTTTCAAAGACTCCATAGCTAGTTAAGGGTTACAGTTTCTTGATCCATGCTTTCTTTGACTTAACAACAGTTTCACAAGTTGAAGCATACAATATGCAAAATGGATTCACTTGGGGCCTACCAGTATATATACTGGGTTCAGAGGAGGCAACAAATGTGAGTATATGTCTTCATTGTTTGAAGATATGACTACAAACTATGACCTGTTTGCTTGGAAGGTCAGAATGAGAAGCTAGCAAATAGATTTTGCCTGACTAAAAAAAAAAGAGAGAGTTAAAATTGATGTAGAAGGTGTTACTTAATGGACATGGTACATTCCACTAAAGTAGTGATCTTTTACAGACACAAGATGTTTACTGCAGAGTTGCCTAATTATCTCCACAGTAAAACATCATTGTCTACATGTGTGGTGCTATTAGGACAGAGTAAACTAATTAACTCTGCCATAGGATAGTACTGCCAAATACAAGTATTATCCTATGGCAGAGTTATTTACTATGCCACAATGCAGGTGTGTAACAATGCAGCAAGCCAAACTTATCCATCTCAGCAGGGGCACAACAAGCTGCTGGTGGAGGGTAGCCGAATACCCAGTAGGGCAGGAGACAGTTAGTATTTACCTGCAGCTGTTTATAAGCACCTACTACCTGCAGGTCTGGCAGTGCACCAGGAGTGATATCATGAGCCCACAACCTGGCTCAGCCAGTAAAGGGGAAGCAGGGCTATACAGAGAGGGCAGAGAGAGCACCACGGATACAGCAGACCCAGAAACTCTGAAGCCAGCAGGGAGCAGAGCAGTATCCACAGCCTGGAGACCTGGAAAGGTTTGCAGCCAGCCGCTGGCCCAGGATCACCCAGGGAGAGACTCTCTGTGGACCCTGGCACCCAGGAACTAGGAGAGAAGCATGTAAGTCAGGCAGCCGTTGGTGCCTGGAGATCCAGGCACAATGAAGACACTGCCACCTTTTGTTTCCTTCTTCCTCAAGAGATAATTGATATTGATGTAGGAGTTGCAGACTCAGCAAAGGGAGCATGGACTTAAAGGTCCTGAATTGATAGTCTGCTCTTAAGTTGATTTGAGTGGAGGGGATTAATTGATGTTTGATTTTGAAAACCCACAAAATTAATTATAGACTGAATTAGAATCATAGAAGTAGAATCATAGAATCATAGAAGTAGGGTCGGAAGGGACCTTGTAGAACTTCAAGTCCGACCCCCTGCCTGGGCAGGAGAAAAAACTGGGCTCAAATGATCCCAGCTAGGTAGGCATCAAGCCTCCTCTTAAAGACCCCCAGGGTATGAGCCAGCACCACTTCCCTTGGAAGTTGGTTCCAGATCCTAGCCACCCTAACTGTGAAGTAGTTCTTACGGATGTCTAATCTAAACCTACTCTCCAACAACTTGTGGCCCTTATTCCTTGTTATGCCAGGGGGTGCTAGGGGAAACAAGGTCTCTCCCAAACCCTTCTGGTCCCCCC